AGCTGACAGTAAAATCAACTGTGTGTGTAGCGTAGAAACATGTCTCTTAATTCAGCCCTGAGCAGAACTGAGAAACAGGCTGCATTAACGCTGATTCTTACTGATGCTTATAAAAATTGGGCCAGAGATGCATTCACAGTGATGGCCTTAAGCTAATCATCCTCTGAATTAAGAGAAAACAACTATTCTCCTGCGCCTGCCCAGCCCATCCAGTTTTTCTGAGTATGCTTTGTCAAAAGATGGAATGAAAATACCAATATACTGTAGGATACTGTTATCAGGAAATTTCTCTGTGCAAGCCCTCTATGAAATGAGCAGGAGCTGCTGCACAAGGACACACAAACTGTTGCTGATTGAATTTGATGCCCACATCTGCATTGGGTGGGAATGTCTGTTCCCATTTAGTACTGCAGGAACACATACAGTAGTAGTAGTGGGACCCTCCAGTTTTTAAGCATATGGGGGGGGGGAACTAACCATTTCTTTCCTCTCCCTGTATTCTCAGCAGCCAAAGCAATGGTGGGAGTTTTCACTGGAATACGTGGTCCAGGCTTCCTGTGTGTTCGACCACAAACTTGAGGGGGAAATTGCCAAAACTGAGCAAACTGCTCATTTTTCAGAATTCCCCATCTCTCCCGCCTTTGCATATTGCAGAACTGGTACAAATCAGGGTGTAGCTCTTATTCTGATAGATGTCTGAAATGGAACTTTCCTTTATTGCGCATTTCCTGATAGGTTCTTGACTATTGCAGACTGACACTGAGGATGACAGTTCAGAAACTTCAGCCGGCCCCAAATGCAGCAGTGTGGCCTTGTCAGGAACTCTCTATGAGGAGCGCACTAGTGAGTTGTGACCACAGAATGGGATTATAGGTTTGGTGCTAAATTATAGCATCTGAGGAACAGTTGACCTGTTCCAGAAACAAACTTAGTTTGGAGGCGGCTCCCCTTCTAGCAAATTCTTTCCCCAAAGTAGATTTCCTGGTTGATTCAATTAGTGCTTTAAGAGAGACATTAAATGCATTTCTTTTCTACCAGGCCTTTAAAGATTTCAACTGAATATTAGTTTTAAACATGGGATTTGTCACAAATATTGGTGTGTGGAGTGTTCCTGTTCAAGGTTTCCTGACTGTCCTGTTCTTTTCCAGGATACCCTTTTTTCTGTGTTTTGTGGCCAAAGCATGCTCAGCCCTCGTTGGGTTGCTGGGGTTTTTTTTTGCTTTTGCCTCCTTAGGTCACCCCAAAAACTTTTGTACTTCTTCAAACCTTGGAGCCACCTGGTCTCTTTCTTAGCTACATAAGGATCCACACTCAGAGAATGTGTTTGCTATTAGCATATATAGGATCCTGTCTCCCGCTTTTATGATATATAGTGTCCTTCCAGCTGCATCGTTTGCTTCTTCTTGGCAGTTTTTATTTGTTCTTCTTTTTATCTAATGTTGTGAGGCACTTTGAGGACCTTGGCTGACAGAAAGTGGAAATTAAAATCTTTATATATGAACTATTTTACTTGCAAAGGTTTGCAATTCTTGTCAGTTGAGTAATACTGGGGAGAAAATTGTGTGACCCTAAATTGCTGCAGTCTCAGCAATTTACATACATTGTGCTTGATGAACCCTGGCTGGAACAAGTATCTGTTGTACAGTGTCTAGAATAAATTGTACAACCACTATCCTTACCCGGCCGTTACCCACTTCCACCCTTATCTGTCCTGACATGATCTCTGTAGTTGAACTGTTGATGGACTGGTTGTCCTCTGTGCCTGTCTATGCTGAAAACAAGACTTCCATTGTACTCCTGACTATGCTATGTCTGCTCTGTCTAAAATGGAAGCCTGTCACTTGACAGGTGTCATCAGACGTGTCATCTGAATGTCTTCTTCTTGGGCAGAATGCTTTGGGAGGTTTTAGGTGGGAGAGGGCACCAGGAAACCCATACTGTTGAACATTAGGATTACTTCTGTTGCTGGTTGTGCTACCAAAGATGATGGCAACAAAATTTAAAAGCAAGTGTCATGGCATTGGGGAGACAGAATCTTCCATGGGTGATAATTTCTAGGATGAAAAGCTCCTGGCAGAAATAGCAGCTATGGTGAATCAGCAGTACACCATTAGAGCAACTTCTGGGAGTTTGTGGGAAGAAGAGTGATAACTACCATATTTTTCTGTGTATAAGACTAGGGTTTTTTCTTTTAAAAATATGTTTAAAATTGGGGGTCGTCTTATACATGGATACAATCTCCCCCCATTTTCTTTATTTGGAGACCCCCAAAACAGTGCGTGTCTTATACACAGAAAAATACGGTAATTGTGGTTGATAAGGTACAGAGACTAGAAAAATACACCAACCCTATAAACATACTGAAATTTTAAAAGCCATGTGGAATATTTGCAGTAGGTGCACATACGTTTTTCTTGCTTGCCAAGATATAAAGGAGGGAAGAGTAGCTCAGAATAGCCACTTTCAAAGTGGCTAGAGTTTTGGGGAGGGGTTTCCAAAGCAGGTGGGGATGTTGTGTGGCTCACCTCATAAAACTGACCCCTGCTTAGCATGATGGTGCTTTACCTGAAGTTCATAATTGTTCTAATGTTGGGAGACACTCACAGAGTAACCCTTACTCAGATGTAAGTCCTGCTGAGTTTTGCAGGGTGTACTCCCTGGGATGTGTACCCAGGATAGTAGCACCTACAGTTTTTGAAATTTGCTGGGGATGTCGGTGGACCACTTAAACTTTTTGTTGTTCAAAAAGATCAAAGTACATGCTGTACATAACACACTTTCCCACCCCACTCCTTCAGTGCTGGCATTGTCAAAACTAGTGATGCTTTATGAAAGTGTGGGCTGGTAAGTGCTTAGGGAGAAATTGGCAGACTGTTCCAGTGCCATGTTATGAACATGACAGGCTATTGCCAGGACCTTGATCTGTATTTTCAGAAAAATGAATTAAGTGAGGGCAAAGTGCACATATTCTTGACTGTTCTACAGCCTTCTTAGGTTCCTGAATAGAATTTGTAGGATAGAGCTTGCTTGAGAACATCTGCTTGTAACATAAGTAGTTTGAGACAGTGGTCAGATTGCTGAATCTTGCCTTCATCTCCCCTATGGTTTCTTGGGCAGTGAAGTGTTTTTAATGGGCTAGTAATGCCTGTGGATTTATTTTCCAGGCTATCTTAAAAAAGAATAACAGGCCGATGGTGATCTTACTGTTGCTCAGATACTGGTATGAATAATTTGATCCAAAAAAATCATTTTTTAATATAAAAAAATACATTTCTTGTAAACAGATTTTGTGGTTTGGACAGCTGGCATGACTGCCTCCTCAGAGTCATTCAGTGCCACTGTCACCTGTATGGGTGGCTCTCACTGCTGCCGCCTCCTCCTCCTGCTGCTGCTGCTTTTGCTGTTCCCTGCTTGTCTGGGAAAGGCTGCTGTGTCATCCATGCCCCCCCCCCTGTATTTGGAGTGTACAGGATGAGACCCCATGGAGCAAACTGGGAGACGGAACAGGGCTTCCCCCTCCCTTCTGTTCATCTGCCTCATGGGCCTTTGCACGGGCCCCTATCCTGCACTTCCCCCCATATACTGCTGCTCACACGGCCTCACCTGGTGCAGGCGCCTACTTAAGACTGTTTGCTTGGGCTTACAGAAGTAGAATAACAATTCCCTTGAAAGGAACTATTGAAATTGTTAAAAATCTGAATCGTTTTCCCCAAACTGCTAATGATGTTCAAAATTCACCCTAAATGCCACCTTAGGCTTGACACTCACACATACATACTTTGCTTGATCTCTCCTTGCTTGAGCTCTCAAAGCTTCCTGGTTGGCACTTGAATTTAAAACGGAAACTGAAAATAAGATAAGAGATTTGGAAGTTCTGTCCATGGCGTTAGGTCTCTGAAGGCTGAGGCCTAGTCTACATATCTGGCCAAATAAAGTAGGAATGAAGATTTTAGCCAGGGTGTGCATGCCTTTTTTATGTTGTTATTTTTCAGATTACATTAAGTACATTTGAGAAAACAGCTGTTCCAGCAATATACAACGAACAACTTGACCTGGTATCTTTACAGATTTGTCTCATGCTGGATAATAAAGTTCCATTTGATTATTCTAAAAGGTCACACCATATTTTTTCGTGGGTAGTGCATGGTTTCCTGCCACAGTCCAAATAATTACCGTATTCAATAAGTATTTGCCATGTGCTGTAGAAAGAAAATGGATTACGCTTGCCTCTGGCTGCTCCAACTTGTCATGCCAGCTTCTCAGCCAATGCTATGGACCACACTCTGGCATACCAAGAGCCCATGCTGAGACCAGCGCAAGCGGCTCTTGGGAGTGTGACCGGTGCAGTTGTACTGGGCATGGTGCTTCTGAGGCACCGGAGGAGGCTCCACCACTATTGCTCCAATGGGAGGCGGAACAGGGGCACCAGATTTGGTTGCTGCACAGGGTGCCTCTGAAATTTGAGGCGCCAAGGTCCGCCACAGAGACCAATCCCAGTTTTCCAGCATCTGGCTATCTCCATTTGTGCTGCTATTAATAAAAAAAGGCTAAGAGAGCATTGTGGGGGTGGCTGTGGCTCTGGAAGTAGAAGACTAGCAGAGTAGGGAGCGGCCTAGTTTAGGACATTTTGCGCTTGATATGCTGGTTTTCTTCTGCCTGAGAGTTTTTACACAGGGAAGTATGCAATAATGTCCTTCTTGACTGGCATCCTGAAATGGCGCAGGCCACTCTGCTACCTCAGACTGCAGCATGGGTAGACTGGGCCTCATTCACTCATGCCAACAAGCCATCCCTCACCTGACGTTGAACATCTGTTTTGGAATTAATACTTTTCAGTTGTGAGAGCAGTTTAAGAGAAACAGGACAAAAAATTGCATATTGGTTTATTTTCTGAAAAGGCCCAAAGCAGGGCAGTTCTGTTTAGATGTGGTCTGGTTTTTGTTTTAATGCAAGCTGTGGCCTACAAAGAATCAACTTCCTCTTCTCCATCTTCTCTTTAGCACAATGGCTGACAACACAAGTAAACTCACCAAGCATGTGAACAAAACACCTCCAAGGTCTCCTGCAGATTCCGCAAAAGAAAAGCAGCCAAAAGGTTATCCTGCGACTCAAACAGCTCCCACGACGGGGCCAGTGGGCCAGAGCTAAGTGCTCTTGAAGAGGCTTTCAGAAAATTTGCTATCCACGGGGATACGAGAGCCACGGGGAAAGAGATGCATGGGAAAAACTGGTCCAAGTTGTGTAAGGATTGCCACGTGATTGATAGCAAGAACGTGACTCTCACCGATGTTGACATCGTCTTCAGCAAGATCAAGTAATTTCTCCCTCTGCTTCTTCACCTTACATCTCCCCCCCCCCCCCCGATATTTGTATTGCTGAGTCTGTTTGTGAGTAATAATAGGTGGAATATGATGGTTACATATACCCCAATTACATCATAAACATTGTTTTTAAGTTCTGTAAAACGGGGGGGAACACCATGCTATCCTCAGATATTGTTGGACTTCAGCTCTCTGCAGCCCCAGCTAGCATGGGCAGTGATCACAGGTGAGGGAACTTATAGTCCAGCAGTATCTGGAGAGCACCAGGTGAGCTCGCCATGCTTTACAAGTTTAGATTGCACACCTGAGTTTCTTTTTCTATACTAATTAGCATTCACAGGTTACACATTCCAGGCTAAAATAGATTGAGTGATAGCCAACAGTCATACTCAAGAGTCGACACATTGAAATTAATGGCCTTAAGAAAATGAAGTATATTTTAATTGACAAAATGTATGTACTGTTTTAATTAATAACATAATAGCATAGAAACATATTAAATTATTGATTAAAATACCAATGAAATCAAGCATTAACACCAAGCTGGCATAATATTTATTAAAATATAAATAAAATCAGTAGTTTTAAAACAAATGCACAAAGTTAAAATTATTTGTCTGGATAGACTTGTCTTTAAAAATGCTTTTAAGAGGTGCCAAAAATAATTCTCCGAAGTGTAGGTGCTGCTACACTAAAGCATCAGTTCCTTGCAAGTGAGGAACAAACATTATATGGAAGTTGTAAAAATGTCAGTTCTGCAGATAGAAGCAGTTGAGCGGGTGCATACAGGGTAATGCAATCCTTCAAGTCAACTTAAAGGCTTTATATACTTATAGTAATATCTTGAATTTGACTTAGAACTTTTTAAAAATATTAATTTCAACAAGACTAAAAATATCTAACCTTGTATATTGGTCAATATTAGCTTCACTTCTGAAAAGCTCTCTAATACTATTTTTATTCTGGGACAATTACTGTGCACTGGATATTTGTGTGAGAAAAACTGTTTTGCAGATTAGATGTATGGTGCCTGGTATGTACGCTTCTGAAATGTTTTGGAGTCTGGCTTTTGCTGAATATTGTTACCTTTCTTAAAAAGAAAAGGAGAGATAGCAAGTGCCTGGCTACCTGATGCCCTGCAGAAGGAAGGGCAAGGGGAGCCCAACCACCGCCCATCCCTTCTTCTGAATGTGTTACTTGAACACAAGGCCTGGTTACAGTCTGAAGGTGCTTGATGGAGCAACCTAGCTGAAGCTAAGCTAAGCTGAAGCTAAGCAGGCCTGACTTTGGACAGGGCCTCGACGGGAGTAGGTTGTGGGACTGTAGCTTAGCAGCAGAGCGGTTGCTGAGCAGGCAGCTGGTATTGGGTTCAGTCCCTGGCATCTTCCCAGGTTGAAGGTGAAAGAACCTCTGAAGAGGCTGCTGCTGCCAGCCAGAGAAGATGGACCAGTGGCAGGGCTCCCCCCCCCCCAGCTGGAACTCAGTTCTGGCACCTCTCAAGTAGGCGCCATTGCCATTCTAAGAGAAAGAAGGGAGGTACTCGTGGCAAGTTCCAGCACTGACCAGTGTTCTGACCAGCTTCCTATAAAGGAGAATGAGATAACAAAATGAACTGTGCTGCCAATGGCTCTGTGCTAGGAATGAGTTGCCTGAATCCAATTTTGCCATTATAATCAGAAATTGGGGGGCAGTAGGTTCTTCGGGTTATGGTTAGGAAATAGTTCCTTGGGTTGAAACCTGGCAGTGTAGGAGAGGCAGGTTGAGAATGGTCCATGCCAAACTCGGGTAGGAAATGACTTATTCTGATGAGTGATTCTGGCATTTTGACGGGTGATGTCCATTTCTGCCCATAGAGTTTGCTGAGGTGGACTAGGGAGAAAATGTCTGTGTTTTTACTGGGTCTTTTGGGGAAATGTTTCGTAAGGTCAAAGGGGAACATTTGGTATGTGCTGTTACCTAGTAGCAGTATAACATATTTGTAGTTTTTATTTAAAAGGTACTTAAAATGTTACTCTATGCAGGCAATAAGAAAATTCTCACACATGCTCAGTATGAATGAGTGTGGTCTTGCAACACCATATACTTCTGAAAATGGAAAGCTGAGTCATATTCCCTCTCAGAGCTAATGCCTGTATTTCACTCGAGGAAAGCTGAATTAGGGAACTCCTTGCTGCAAGGAAAAACACTGTTTCACTTCTCACACCTTGTCATGGAAGTTGTTCCAGGCTCTGTATACCCTTATGTTTTTCCCCTTAGCCTGTTGAAGATGATAATAGGATGGAGATCAGGATTGCAATGAGAGGTTTATTAAGATAAATGCTTGCTGCTTATATAAATTATATGCAGTTGTTTGGAATCCTTTATATATCTATTGGCTTACCTAATTACTTAAAAGGCAGGTGTTTTTACTAACTGCTAGTGACACAAACGGGTCACAAATGGGACGCGGGTGGCGCTGTGGGTAAAAGCCTCAGCGCCTAGGGCTTGCTGATCGAAAGGTCGGCGGTTCGAATCCCCGCGGCGGGGTGCGCTCCCACTGCTCGGTCCCAGCGCCTGCCAACCTAGCAGTTCGAAAGCACCTCCGAGTGCAAGTAGATAAATAGGGACCGCTTACTAGCGGGAAGGTAAATGGCGTTCCGTGTGCTGCGCTGGCTCGCCAGAGCAGCAATGTCACGCTGGCCACGTGACCCGGAAGTGTCTCCGGACAGCGCTGGCCCCCGGCCTCTTGAGTGAGATGGGCGCACAACCCTAGAGTCTGTCAAGACTGGCCCATACGGGCAGGGGTACCTTTACCTTTACCTTTAGTGACACAAACCAACACCGCAGTATTATGCAGAACTACTCTGCCTGGACTTCAGCCCTTCCATAGTTTGGCTTGTAGTTAACTAAGTTTGCAAATAGTTACAGTGCATTTCAGCAACCTATTAAGTCCAAAGCGTGAATCCTATCTGTGCCATAAGCTCAAAAACTATTTAAAAGGAAGACACTCTTCTTCTCTCTTTTGCTGATTCTGCACCATGGAAGAGTATTAACTTACTGGACAGGATTTTTGTTTCAAAACTATTCACATCCCTGTGTGGGAGAGGTACAGGAGGAGTAAGGAGGAATGTTTCACCTGCGGCTCTCCTGTACTAAAGCAGGGGGCTGGCCTAGAATCACTAGATGGCCATCAAGACCTTTCCCACCTCACCATTATATGTGGATGGTGGTTATTACCAGTTAGGCGCCTGCAGCATGGAAAGAGTGGCTTCAGTTGCACAGGCTCAATGCGTTAGTGCAGTGAAGAGGCAAATCTGGCACTTGAGTTCAGTCTGCCACTCTCAGCCATCCAGCTCCAAGGTGGTACAGAAGCTGGAACTAAACACAGACCAGGAAAACTATACCGTATCTCCTGAATAATGCATTTTCCTGTAATTTCTCACCATTTTGAAACAAAAACAAAGAATATATATTAACTAGATGTTGAAACTATGAATTCGCGTGAGTCTCCTTCCTCTCCTATTGTAGTTACTCCTGATATGGTGAGAGAATCGCATGCTTAAATGCCCCTCCCATGGAAAAAAAGCACTGCACATTGAAAACTAGCCTGTCAAGAGGGGGTGGGTGGGTTCTGGCCCCGTCTCTATCCTGACATGCTAGTTTTCTATCTGCAGAGCCCTTTTATATGTGAACAAATATTCAGATATACCTACAGTGTAAAGTGGCGCAGCCCAGTAACAGCTGGTGCATATGATTCGCCGAAAAGGTTATTTTTTGTTTACTCCTGCCCTTCCTCTTGTCATCCAGTGTGTAGTAAATAGTTGGATTATGTTGCCATCCTCCGTTTAACAGATGTCAGCAGCCTGGATTAAGCAGTCTCAAAAAAGTGTTAAAATAGCCGTCTGTAGCGATCAACAGATTGAGGTCACATATTTTAATATTACACCCTTAGTGCCCCATTAACCAACTTCACCCATCCATTGTAAGATAACACAGTATATGCTTCCATCATTTCCCCTCTCTTAAAGCAACACAGTCAATAAAACCTCAGTTTGGGTTTTCTGGTTTTCCTCTGTGGAAGGAGAAATAGGCAGAATCTGACTGGTTTTTAAAAAAATAGTTATCAAGGAATAGCAAGGAGAAGAGGATAACAAGGTGATACACAGCAGATTACAGGTGATTTGTGATGTTGTGTGATGCTGAATGAGAACACCTGTGCAGGAGAATAGAGGACCACCCAAAGGTATTCTAACCCTATATGCCCAGCGCAATCCTGTTACTCAGAAACAAGTGTGTGGACAGTATCAATAAATAGTTGTGTCAGGGTGGAGCTAGGAGTTTCCTGTTACTGTTCTTGTTTAAGAGAGACAACAAAGTTCTTTCCAGTAGCACCTTAAGGTTGATGGACTTTGCAGTAGCACCTTAAGGTTGATGGACTTTCCAGTAGCACCTTAAGGTTCTTTCCAGTAGCACCTTAAGGTTGATGGACTTAACACTTAAGGTGCTACTGGAAGGAATTTTTTTTGTTTTGACTATGGCAGACCAACACGTCTACCTATCTGTAACTGGAACAAAGTTCTTGTTTAGCTTCCTCACTGGTGTGTCCTCTAAATCTTCCATGACAGTAAGTCCTCCTTGTCCCCTGATAAGTGTGCTTATGATTGCAGACTTCATTGCTATTTTGATTGTGCAAACAATGAATTTGGTACTAGACAGAGAACTAGGCATCCTAAGAAACTCAGCTTTCCTTAAAAATAATATAAGTTTCTAGTCCCTAAGGTTGCAGTGATGAACATTTGACCAATATTTGCTGCTCTCAGAAGCAAGGAGATGACTCTGCACATCTGGAGGGCACTGGCTTCAGGGTTTTACATGGTTCTTTCCATCCCATAACCAGCAAAATGTGATACAGATTTTGCAAAACAAAATATGTACAGACACAAATGTATGGAAAACTTCATGCAGGTTGCCAACCAAGCTTTACTCAGAGTAAACCCATTGAAATTAATGGAGG